CATCAAGTCTGTCCCCTGTGAAGACCATGATCCCCATGAGGCAGGAGCCCATCTGCTCTGTTTACTGTGAGGCCTGACACACATGTCTGTGGACAAGTGACAATGGACAGTAATGGTGGGTGGTGGGTGTCGAGGTTCTGGCTGGGCTCCACTGGAGCCTGAACATGCTCATGGTGACCAGGTTCAGAGGAGAGTCCTGTGAGGGTCTGGGGTTTGCTTGGGGCAGGGCTTGAATGCTGGCCATGGTCATAGTTTTAGCTTTTGGAAACTAGCCCATCTCTGGGGTTTCCTGGGCAAGGGTTGGGATGTGCAGGGGATGGTCCCAGGAGGGCCAGCTTCCATGCATCTGGGGATTTGGGGAGCTGAGACATCATCCCAACAGTGGGTGGGGTGGTGGGGCAGGGTCACAAGGGGGAGTTCTGTGTGAGGACTAGAGGGCTCAGGAAAACTGCTCCCTATCTTTGTCCCCTCTGTAGGGGGGACAGTGGGCAAGGGTGTGGGCTCAGTCTCGACATGGCCAACAAGCACGACCCAACATGCTGCACCCTTGCCACTGTCCAGAGACCCAGAGGTTGGGGCCGGAGGTGGCCTGGTCGACAGCAGCAGGGGCTGCCCCTGCTGGGAGTGGCACCAAGAAGGCGCATTTGCCACTGTGGTCCTTGTGGGCAAGGGGTTGTGGCTCCAGGTTGCAGGCAGGAAAGGGCACCTGAGGAGACATAAGTCCACGTGACAGGTGCAACTATTCCTGTAGTCTCCACAATGCAGCACTTCGGGGGGTCCTCACAGCCCCTGGACCAGACACTGGAATGAAGCTCATCCAAGAGCAGAACAGAGACCCTGGAATCACAGGCCCGATGGGGGATGCATGCAAACACTGGGCCCAAGGCGGCAGTGCACACCGGCAGGCCCTTTTCATGCGTCAGGTAAGAAGGACTTGCTTGCTCTGTGGGTGGAAAACCAGAGAAAATCACCTATCACCCACTGGGAATTAAGGCAACTCAGAAAACAAAACTTTATCGTAGGACAATTCCAGAGATGTGAAGAATTAAAGACTTGGGAGCCCCCATCTGCTGCTGTGGACGGGCTGGAGTGTGGACCCCGTCATGGCCCCGCCTGGCCCCGTGCCCTGCAGGGTGCTGGCATGCTCTGCTTCCTGATCTGGATGCTGGATTAGGGGTGCTCAGTCTGTGAAAGCTCGTCTAGCTGCATGCTTGTGACATGTGCGTGTCTTGGTATGTGTATCAGATCTCATTAAAAAGTCAGGAAAAACTCAACCCATTCTTGTTGCTAAACAACTCAGGCTAAGAAGAAACCCCAGTGGGAATAAAAGAAATGCTTAGAGGGAGAGGGGACTGCAATGCTACGTGGCGAAACTCACAGGGCGCAGCAAAACCCGTGTTTCGAGGGAAATTCACGGCCTTGGATATAAATGTTCACGTTACAAAGGAAGAAAGAATGAAGACAGGGAAGCCGAGGCTCCGATTCACAGTAGAACAGTAGAGAAGGAGCGCCTGCCACACTCAAAACAAGGAAAAGAAAATGAAAAGTACCAGCAGAATCAGTGGGAAAAGAAAACAAAGACACATCAGGAAAGATCATGTGGTACGAAGTGGGGTCTTTGAAAAAACTAACCAAATAAATACCCACTGGTGAGACTGACAAGTGAAGGAAAGAGAATTTAAGTCCCCTGATGTCCCACAGACAGTGCAGTGACCAACAAGGGACGCCGCAACCAACTGCCAACAACTGAAAAAAAAAGTAAAAATGGATAAACTTCAGAAATATATAGTTTACCAGAGAGCTTTCAATGAGAAATACAAAACAGATTGATCCTGTAACTATTAAAACTTGAGCAGCAAAGAAAAGATTTCCCTCCAAGGAGACAGGTGTTCTGATGAGTAAGTGTGACCGGACCTTGGGCATGGAGCACCCCGTTGTTACATAAACTCTGACGGGCAGAGGAAGGGGCGCCCACACAGCCTGGGATGGTCCTGCCCCTGACATGGTCAGAAACAGCACAAAACGCCAAGGTAGTCATCTGTAGATTGAACGTGACAGTGTATTAAAAAGATAAGACACCTGGCCACTTTAGGTTTTCTAAGCAAGAAGGACTGAATTAACATTAGAAAATAAGTACGTAAATCTTAAACATCTTAATGGTCATTTCAAAGGATGCAGAAGCACTTTCACAAAACCCAAGGTACGTTCACGGTAGAGCATGATGACTGGCTCAGAGCCTTGTGTAGCACATACCGTCCTAGCTGAGGGCGAGGAGAGAAACATTGCTTTCAGAGCCCATGTCCCCAAGCAGGAGGTGCGTTGGCCACACCACGCGGCTGGTGACGTGAGCGGCTTTGTGACACACAGCAAGACAAGCAGTGGAAATGTGACGCAAAACCTTCGCCCGGGCTGGTGATCTGGTCAGTTAGAGAGAAAAACTAAATAACCTGTAAGTTATGGGAAATAACAAAAGAATTCAGCACTATGGCTGGACAGAAGATTAAGATATTAAAGTGAATTGTGTTCTGTAGACCAGCAACAAACAAGCAGAAAAATGCAATCACAAAGATGACCTCCAAGTTAGAATGTAAGCAGAAAATACCAAATTCCTGAGAATCAACTAATAAAGGGTAACCCTCCTACAGTAAACAGTACTCAATGTTACTGAGGTGTTGACTAAGTGAGGAGGTAAAAGGGTTTATGCAGAAGACCCTATATTATAAAGATTGCCTCCTCCTCAAAGGGATCGATAGATTCAGTGCCATTCTAGTCAAAATGCCAACAGCTTTTCATGGAACCGGATAACTCATTCTAACACTTATGTGTAAGAACAGAGGGCCAAGAAGAGTGAGGGCACTTCTGAGGAAGGACAGGAGCGGGCGTCCTCCCCGAGAGGCCAGGGCCACCCTGCTGCTGGGCCTGCTGTGTGTGCGCCTGGGGCCAGCACCCGTGGGAATGGGGATCCACACGGAAAGGGAGGAAACCCGGTCCTTACCTCACACTACCGAGGAGAGTCATCTTTAGGCAGTTTGAATGTGAAGAACAAAAGTTTTAAATTCCTAGTAGAAGATATCAGCAAACCTCCATTAGACTTTGGAGTTGGGAAGGTCTCTTAAGGTACAAAAAATACTAAGAAAACATGAGTAAACCTGACTCCGTTAAACTGGAGAGACCTCCTCCCTCGTAGGAGGCCCTTGAGTGGCCCTCCTGACCCTCAGCACGCCAGAGCAACGCTCTCATTCCAGCCGAGTGGACCCCGGACCTTCCAGAGGCTCTGCCCCAGGGACACCCCAACGGGGACCTCACCAAGGGCGGAGCTGCCTTGAAAACCAGCTGGCTTCCATGGAGCCCCACATTAAAGGGTGGACAGATACTTGAAACAGCCCTACTCTTTTCACTGTGTTTTTGGGGAAAATACTGTTATTTTTCATAAAAATATGTTGTGTGTGTTAACATGCAACAGCTTATTATTGCTTTTAAATGAACTCATAGGTAAGCATTTCGCAGGTGTCTCAGTTTAATCTATAACACACTGGTAGGCGTAACCTGCACCACGGACAGCTCTCTGACTACTCATTTTCAGGAGACTGAAGGGTCCTGAGAACCGCTCGCTGTCTTACGGACAGCGTGAAGACACATGGCAGAGGAGACATTGCCATCCTGACAAAATGGGTGGAAATATATGAAGAAAAGCATAACAACTGCATGGAAAACGGGCCTTCTCAGCCACGTGGAGCTGGGGGTCTGTGGCACCTGCTGGCAGGACCGCGCTCTGGTGCAGCCACCGTTGGAGACCGTGGAACACCGCCTGTCCCGCTGTGTGGCTGTCCCATGGCCGGGTCCACACACGGGAGGAGCTCCTGCCCAGATCCACCAAGGGTGTGCAGGGCGGCACCAATGCTCCCATGAGCCTTGGGCTACACGTGACCTCCTACTGGGTTCAGGCGCATCGTCCAGAAACACGTAAGAGAAAGTTCCAGAAGATAACGTGTAGGGACACTCTTCTTCAGATGTGAAAACCAACACACACCAAACAACACTGCTTTTAGGAACAGCCCGGTGGCACGGAGGCGGGCGGCACTGGGAGGATGTTCGTTATTCCAGGGCTTAATTTCACGTCAGTTCTGGTGCTAAACATGCAGGTAAACTAAGGAAGTCTGTGCATGGACCAGGGCTGGGAGCTGCCCCAAGCCAAAGACCACCCGGGCTCTGGTTCTGGCCCCCGAACTCTAGGGAATCAGAGACCCGATCCACCAGTGGTCCAGGGCCCTGTGGTGCCACCGGAGCGTGGACGAGGGCCTCTCAGGGCAAGGGGCTGGATGCTAGTTTAAGGTAAAGTAAAATAGAGCAGAGGGGGAGCCAATCCCCAAACTCTTATTTTGGGGTTAAAATTTAACCTAATGTCACTAAGCTAATAGGTTTTCCCTGAAATTTTTGAATTTGTAATTACTCGTTAACGATTGATTTTTCTCCGCCCATCTCAGATTGCAGGCTCCACGGAGGTGGGAGCTGTGAACGGCGATCCGGGGGAGCCCAGCGCGGCGCTCAGGGGAGAGGCGGGCCGGGCGGGGTCCTCCAGCCCATTCTTGGTGCCCCCCAGCCACGCTCCCTGGCATGCACACAGGGGTGCCCGGGGGGTGGTGACCTGAGCCCAGAGCAAGGTAGCGTGGCTGCCTTGGGCTATCGCCCACAGGCCACGTGTCTCTGCCGGGTGCTGCCATCCCGCCGCCACGCTCTTGCCCTCGGAGACGCTGCGCTTCCCCACCAGCCACCACCAGCAACTTCAGGCCCTTTTAACATGTAAAATACACTGACGTTCACACTCGGGAAACATACTCGACAACTATAATGACAAGCACGCGTCCACACACCAAGCGGCCACTGGAGCTGACGGTGCTGCCGGGGACCCTGAGTCTGACAAAGGTGGGGGTGCCCCGAAGGCAGGCCCCCGAGCCCAGCCTGTGCCCTGCACGTGGGTGCCCCCGCCTGCTGCCACCCACCTCGAAGGTGTTCCCGGTCACATCGAACTCGGGGGGCACAAAGGCGCCCTCGGGGTCATCTGGGGAAGGAAAAGAGAAGGCCTCTGATCACAGATGCACAAGGCCCAAAGGTGAGGAGGAAGCCCGCCAGCCAGGCGGGCAGGAGCTGTGGCCTCCCGCTCCCCAGGGGCCCCTTCCTGCCCCCACCCCCTTCCGTCCTGGCGTCCCCGGGGGACCGGGTCAGAGGAAACAGTGCTTGAACAGGAAGACCTCGTTCTTCACGGGAAGCCCGGGGAAGCCGTCCAAGGAGGAAGGAGAAGGGTTTTCCCGGCCTCCCAGAGAAGGGGACTGAAGGCACAGGTTGGGGAAAGTCGGGCCGTCTCTGGCCCTCCCTGGAGCAGGGGAGGGGCTGCGGGAACCCTGGAGGCTGGGCAGGCAGCGGAGGCCTCCTGCGCTGGCCACCACGCCCTCGGCCTCACGGCCCACAACCATTCACTGCGGGCCGGCGGCTCCAGGGCTGGCGGGCCCCACGCGGGTCCCCTGCAGGAGCCGTGACACAGCCTGCGGGAGCCTCCCACCTCCTTCTCCCTCAGCAGTTCTTGGGGCTGGAGATCCCACCAGGGCAGCCGCTGCGATCGGGGGGCCTGGGGCGGGACCCTGTGTCCACCTTCGACCCAAAGGCACCTTTTGCCACCCCTGCCGCCGCCCTAGGCTCACCGCTGAGCTGCTCCATGAAGCACACGTTCCCGCTGGTGTTGAACGCCAGAGTGTCCGGCGTGATGCACAGGGTCTGGAAGATGGCCGCGTGGGCGACGCTCCTCATGGACAGGCTGCACTCCAGGCACACGGCCCACGCCTCCTGCTCGCTGAGGCCACTGTCCCGCAGCGACAGGATGTCGGCCAGGGACACGTTCTCCTGCCAAGACAGGCCACAGCTGAAGCAGGTGTGGGGACAGACCCGGGCCACAGCAGGCCTTCCTCCCCGGGAAAGGCCTGGCGCCATGGCATCGAAACTGACTCGAGGGAAGCAGACAACGCGCGGCGGTGTTTCACTTTACGTCAGAAACGGGGTTGTGGGCAAGGCTTTAAAAAAACCACCCAGCAAGTCACCCGCCCCACAGTCCCCTGGATGCCAGAAGCCGCAGAGCATTTGGCAGAATGACCAGCGTGCTATTAGGAGCAGGTGTTGGCCCCGGGGGCCGGGACCTGGTTCTTTGTCCCAGAAATCACGGCCTCCCACAGCCCCCGGGTCCAGCCGGGTTCCCCGCACCCCAACCCCCCCGGCTCACACACGTGGCTCAGTGGGCATGCTGACGGCCTTCACTTTTTTAGGTCATACACAGATGAGCAAGGTGTAGGCACTGGTGGAGATGAGTCAGTATGTACAGAAGCACCGTGGTGCCCGCAACAGAGCAAATGTGGTGTGAGCGTACCACGGGACCACGTGACACACGGTAACGCCGGACATGATGGCAGAGCCGCGGCCCAGACCTGAGCTCCGGGCAGTGCACACAGAGGACCCGGAGTCACTGTGGTCCCTCCTGCACAGCCAGATCCCAGACCTCCCCGTGCTGGGCTCCCCCTTGGGATCTGACCAAGCTCTGTGGTGACTGTGTCACCAACACGCACACATGCACCTGACACCCACACCCTGGTGCATCGTTGTGCGTGCACACACCTCCCCTGTGCATGCACACATCCTGGCACACACGTGTACTCACACACATGACTCTCACACGGTCACAGAGGCCTGAACTCACACATGTCCACACTCCACACACACTGGTACAACGGGTTCATGCACCCTCCGTGGTCGAGCCACACAACCCACACAACCCACACACACACTCACTACCCACACTTTCACTTAAATGCACAGTTGTGCCATCCCACCCTCACACACACCCCCCTACTGACTCATACACACTCCCACGTGTGTTCACACATATACGCCCATACGCTCACGCACACATGTGCCCGAGTTTGTGCACACACACATTCCCACACATCAGACCCCTTGGATCTCCAGCCCCTAAGCTGGCCTGCCGTTCGACGCCCTAGTCACCTCTCTGTGTCTGTGCTCCACAGGCCCGCACGGGGGGAGCCGGAGCCTGGAGGGAGCACGCAGGTGGGGTCAGGAGAGGGGCTGGGGAGCAGGGGGAGCAGGGGAGATGGTGCAGAAGACTGAGCTCCCTCCTGCCTCCAGCCTCAGCCGCCCCACCCCTCCCAGCACACAGGACTGTTCTGCGAGTGCGGCCAAGCTGTCTGGTCATGAAAAGTCTCCTAGCTCCTGCCCTCGAATTTACCCCACCTGCATTGCAAGGGTTACCCACAACTGCAGGCAAAGGGGACAAGGAGCGGAAGGAAGGAAGGAAAGAGCGAGCGAGAGAGAGAAAATAAATCAGGGAGTGGCTCCCGTGGGCATCTTGCTAAGCCTCTGGGCTCAGCAGGGTGGGGTATTGGGAGGGGGACCCCGGGACTGGACCTGCACATCACCCCCAGGCCCTTCTAGCTCTTTCTGTGGGGTAGATGGGTGAGGGAAGCACAGCCCTTTGGAAGCTGTTTCAGGAAGAAGGGGCCATGGGGTTCATGCAGATGCAAGAGCAGAGGGCTGCCAACCAGCTTCCAGAAATATGTGCACCCCTGTGGGGAAGGTAGGTGGTCTGGGAGTTTTAAAGCGGATGAGACTGGGGTGTGGAGGGGGCTAGCAAACCCGGAAATCTCAATGTCCCCATCTCCCTGCCGTGTTCCCGAGGGTCACGGATAAAAGGTCTTTCTGATTTGGCTCAATCTAGGGGTTGCTGTGCACCACCCTGGGACTCCCCAGGACGTGCCTGTGGGGCCCATTAAAGGGGCGTGTCTTGGCAGTGCGTGCATGCACACACACGTGCACACACGCGCACACAGGCACATGGTAATAAACAACCCAGAGACCCTGTGGTTTTGTGCTATTTAGGAAAAGAAAGCTAGCCCACACTGTGAGTCTGAGCCAGCCTCCACTGCAGGGGCCTTGTTGACGCCCTGCTGGTGGCCGCCTCCCCCGGCCGCATGCGCCCGCTCACGCAGCTGTGGCCCCAGGTCCTGGAGGTTGTCTGTGGTTATGATCAGCCGTCCACCTGTGAACTCTCTGTCCATGACCTGGGTCTGGCACCTGCTGCCCCTCTGTGGGAGTTCCCCAAGAGAAGGGAGCCCAGGCCAGGGGTGCCCACAGGGCATCTCACAGGGCATGGCTTCCTGTTCAAGGCCCCTCCCCACCGCCCTGTCCAGTGGAAGATGCCCTGTGTGGGGGAGCCCCAGTGCCTATTCATGGTGGGAGCATCTAAATGGGGGGGACTGTCTGCATGACTTCATAGAGCGAATCTGTGGGTCCTGAGTCATTGCTTCCGGCGCATGCCTGCAGCCCCAGTTCACGGACAAGACGCTCTCAGCCCCTCTGAAACCCAGCTGTTCTGCTGGGAAGGCAGGATTCAGCTGGCAGGGTTCCAGGACAGAGCTGAGGTTTGCTGCTGGCTCTCCTGGCACACCAAGGTTGGGGGGAGTCTCACCAAGTGCTGGGGGACCCTGAACCACGGACCCCATGGTCACCTGTCCTCTGCGACCTGATACCCACCCTTCCAGTTCACCCTGGCTGGAGGAATGACCCTCCCTTGCCTGAAGCCGTGGCCCAAGGAGGGCGGACGGGACGAGACTTGGCTAGTGGACCAGCAGGAACAAGGATGAGAGACTGGGAAGCCTGTACCTGCTGCTCAGACTTCCTCAGTCCATCTCCACCAGAATCCCAGGGGACACCCCGACAGACTGGAGCCATGAGGACATATCCAGAATCCCAGGGACACCCCCACCCCCCTGGGCCACCCCAACAGACGGGAGCCACGTGGGCATCCTGCATGTTGGTGCTCATCTCCAGGATGCCGGGGCTCTGAGCCTTGCTGCCAGGCCGGCCCTGCATGGCCCGGGGACACCACAGGGTCTGCGCAGGATGGACAAGAGCATCACTGGCTGAGGCAGACATTTCAGAAGGAGGTAACATGCTATGAATAGTAAAGCCGGCCCCAGCGCCCACTGACGCCTGTCTGTAGCCCTACCTCTGGGTCACCCACACGCCCAGCACCCGAGAGGGCCCATTGGCAGGCCGGAGGCATCATGACTTCCCACACGGCAGCTGTCCCTGCCACTGCCAACGCGGCCTGACCTTGTCACTGCTGGGCAGCCTCTGGTGGTTCTACCTCCCGAGTACCAACCTAGCCTTCTGTGCGGGGCCCTGGGACCCCACCGCTCTCCGTTCCCCGGAAAGGCACTGCCTGGGTGGGATGTGGGGTACGCCTGAGGGTGAGGGTCACCTAAGTCATGGTCCTTGCAGGACAGGAAGGAGCTGTCCTTCCATAGGGATCCTGCAGGCGCAAGCTCTACCCTGCGCGGGCTGGGAGGAAGGGCACCCCTCAGAGCGGGCGGCTCCCCAGGGCAGCCCCTCATCAGCCAGTCTCTGGGTCTCAGAGGGCAGGGCTGGCTCCCCACCGGAGGACCCTCGTCCAGTTATGGCAAAAGGTGCCCATCCAGGAGATTCTGTGCCTTGAAGACACCCCGCTGCCCTCCTTCAGAGACAGTGTGTGAGCCAGGGTTACACGGGGACCCACGGGGACCCATGGATCACTCTTGCAGATTTCAAATGTACTCTTAGATATTAATGTTTTCAACCTTGGAGCATTCTAATAGGAACTGCCAACCTGAAACCCAGATTACTGCTGAGAACAGTTGTCGACAATCTCCAGGCCCGCCGGCAGGTTCCTCCAACCTGCCAGACCCCCAGGCCCGGGAGGCTCTGCAGAGTACCTTGTTGGGGGTCTTCCCCCCGGCCCTAAAGTGCCCCCCTCCAACTCATAACTATCGCCCACCACGAAGCTCTCCTTGGCTTCCCAGTTGTCTGCGGCTCAGTGCTGTTTGGGTAGCAGCCTCACATGGACCCAGCAGGGCTCAGTGGGAGTATCTGCTTCCTCACAGGGCACCCCTGAGCCGTGGGCTACTCTCGGCGGCAACACGGACCCCACCCACCTCACAAATCCCTGGGTCAAGCCCAGCACCCAGTCCACAAATGCCGGGGAGGTGCTCTCTGAATGTGAAAGGGATGAGAAGCCTCCTTAAAACTCAGGAGAGTCTAGGGACCAGGAGACACACTGCCCCCAGGCCCAAACCGGTTGCACCGTCTTCATCTCCAAGCCTGCCCCTGTCCTTGGGTGGCACCACTGGCCTCCGGGAGGCCCGGCATCCAGCCCTCCTGCAGCCACTGCTATTCCTGATCCCTCATCCATGTCCTTTGCTGGTACCAGGGCAGCCTCATCACCTGCAGGAAGCCAGAGACTGGGCTGGGTGACAACCTCCAGGACCTGGGGCCCACTCACCACCTGCCCCGGGGGGTTTCCGGCTAAGAGACTTCTCGGGGCACGCACCCAGAGCGAAGCTGCTGGGACACAGGGAGCGGCCATCTTCCATGTCACTATCAGATGCCAAGCTGCTTTCCAGAGAGGTTGTTCCATGCACACTCACTCCGGCAAGGGGGTGTCCGGTGCCACGCCAGTCCCTGCCGACTCGGCCACTGCCCAGTTTTTATTCTTGCCAAGTGGCACTTGTGGAGAGGCCCTCACGGTGGGTGTCTTCTGCATTCCTTGATGATAATGACGTTGAGCATTTTTCATGTTTATTGGCCACCTGGATTTTCTCCAGGGTTACAACCAGAGAAACATTCCAAGGGCCTCCTGGGCAGGGTGGATAGGGTCCTGTGCCTTGACCTTGCTGTACAGGCTGTTGTTATGATCAGCTGTCAAACTGTGAACTCCGCTGTCCATGTCCTGGGTCTGGCACCCGCTGTCCCTCGGCGGGAGCTGCCCTGTGTCTTCTCCGGCCTGGCTCTCTCCAGGGGTTGCATCAGCATGGCCCACCCTGGCTGATGATGCAGCCTGGCTCCCCCCTCATCTAACACAGGATGGCTTTTCAGAGGCAACCTGACTCTATAATGCTGTAGCAGACACAGTCGTGTGTCTCTGATGGAGATTTAAAACCTTCAACGCCAACTGAGTGTGTGCAGGAAGCATAAAGTCTGGACCAGGGGTGTTTGCAGGTCCAGGACATCGGTCTGGCTCCAAGGCTCAAGCCTGGACAGGCTTCCTGTTTTATGGGAGCATATACCCAAAGACAGTGTCTCTGTCTCCCAGAAAAGGTGGAGAAGTATGAAGGGCCCATCTGCGCTTTCCCAGTGGACACTGCTAATGCAGTGGCATCCCACTTCCCCTGGAGGCCTTGGTCATGGGACGATGGAAACCCCCAGCCCTGTGCACTGTGCACAGCTGGGGGGTTGCTCCGACCCAGAGGGGCATGAGGGAACCCCACCCAGAGAAGGCGCCAGTGCACACAGTGCCCCTACACTCCTGTGTGGGGCAGGGATCCAGCTTTGGGTCTGAGTCCCGGCCCTGCTGTTCTGTTTATTTGGCACCAGCCACTGACTCTGCACGGGGCACAAAGGAGGCCCTCAAAGTGTGGGGTGGCTGACACAAGGTTCTGTATGAAGAACCACGTTCTATGTCTGCTTTGGATGGTGATTTTGGAGGTGAGTCTTCTAACGGATACGCTGAAATGTGTCCTCTGGGGGCATACTCTGATGGATGTGAGCTGGGTGCGCTCTTTCATTTTCCATCAAAGCCATGGAGATGCCCAAAGCCTTATTCATTCTCTTGCTTCTCCTCTCTGCAGCCTTGCCTCTCACCAAATCCAGGCCACCATGGCGGTGGGGGGGCGGGGGCGGGGGGGGCAACACCGGTCCTCAGGTACAGCCTCAGTGGCTCTCGGCTGGCCAGCCCCTGGCTTCCTATGGCAGACTCTGCTGCCCAAGATGGTACTTCCACAGCACGAACTCTGTCCTTATAGCCAGCTCTCCCCCAAAACCGGGGGGGGGCAGAGGTGGAAGACCCTGGCGACTGCAGCTGTGGCCCCTATGAACCCCCTGACATACTCCAGGAGGATGGTGGCCGTGCCTAACTCTTGGCCACCAGCCTTGCCCAGGTGGGTATCGGAGGGTCTTCATCAGCACCATGTTGGTTACAGCCCATCCCATGAATGGCTGCATGATGCCAGCATTCCTCAGCTGTGAGCACAGAAGCCCGGAGACTGGGGCATTTGCCTGCTGGAGGCTTGGAAGGTTCTTCATCCACCCAGACCCCATAGCTTTGGGTTTTCCTGGGAGTGGCTGCATCCTCTGGGGGTCACCTATCACCATGGAGGGACCTGACTTGTTCATTTGACCCCAAGCCACAGCCTGTGGGGTGTGCTAGGGAAGCCAGAGTTACAGGCAAATTGGTTCTGTGGGCACCTGTCCACTGAATGACCAGAAGCTCCATGTGATGGAGACTGCTGGTCCCTCTGAGCCTTGGGTAGGGGGATGCCTCAGGACTCAGGATCCTGAGTGGAGGCCCCTGTTGTCCTCTGTGTGCAGGAAGCAGCCCTCTGTTCTGGGGGGCTTCCCAGACCTCCACCCCAGCTCCTGAACGTGCTGGCCAGATTGGGCTCTGCTGGCTGGTGCCTCCGGCTGACCTCCTCGGGTACGGGCAAGGAGGAAAACAGCGATCCGCCTCCTTCCCCTCCTCCCCCTCACGATGCCCCAAACCACGCTCATCCATCCAACATTTATAGTCAGGAGCCCCCCAGCCCCCCACCCCACAGGGCACCAACTTCTTCAGGGACCACCCATCCACTGCTGTCCCATGTGGCATTCCAGGGGGCCTGTCCTCTCTGAGCGAAAATGCTAAAGGACGGTGGGGGGTTGCTGAGAGCGGCTGCCAAGACCTGGGCCAGGGGCAGGACACCTGGGGGGCGGGGGCATCTTCCCCTGGACGCTCCCTATAAGGTGGGGGAAGGCAGGACCCACCGCGGGCGCCGGGGCTCACCTCATCCTCCGGCAGAGTGGGGAGCGGCTGGAAGTCGTAGCCCGCCAGGTCCTTGCCATCCTCCTCGTACAAATCCGCGGTGGCCGTGTCCATGGCCTGCATCCTGCTGGCGCGCCGGCGGCGCCTCGGACTGGCCAGCGCCGGGGGCCTTGCGCTCCGGCCGGCGCCCCTGCCCGCCGCGCCCGCCGGGCCTCGGCCTTCCCGCGGGCCCTGCGCCCGGCTCCGCGCGCCGCTCGGGCTCCGGCTCGGGCTCGGGTTCGGCTCCGGCTCGGGCTCGGCTCCGGCTCGGGCTCCCGCTCCGCGCGCCGCTCAGGCTCGGGCTCGGGTTTGGGCTCCGGCTCCGGCTACGCGCGCCCGGCCGCCATGGCAACGCGCCCGCCCCCCCGCGGCCCCGCCCTCGGCGTGCCGCCCGCGCGCCTGCCGCAGTGTCACCCGAGCGGGGGACCCGGTGCCCGGGAGGACCGGGGGTCCTGGCACTCGCAAGGCCCTGCTCACTTTGGCGGGCGCTGGGGCACGACTTGGGGCTGCGCGCTCTTGGGGACTCTGTCCCTCGGGGACGTTGGCTGCCTTCTGCAGGCCGCTCAGCCTGTGCGCGGCGGGCACCGTTTGAGGCGGGGCCCCTTGTGTGGCCGGTGTCCTGAGCGACGCCCCCGCAGGCTGCTGACTGGTGTGCTCCCACCTGGGCCCCCGGAGATCTAGGGCCGTGGTCCACTGCTAGGAGGGCTCTGGGTGCGTCGTGGACTCTCCGCGGGGGCCCTCGGGTCCCTCCCCCGCCGCCCAGGGGCGGGGCTGCCGCAGTCTTCGTTGGGGGTGGCGGCTGCAGAGGCTCAGAGGCTCCCGGTTGGGGGTGGGGGAGCGGAGAGGGGAGAGAGGGGGCAGGAGACCGGGCAAGGCCGTCTGAGCAGCTGGGGTCTGGTCTGCCTCCTCCCTTGAGCGAGGGTCTCATGGATGCCGTGCTGGGAGCCACAATTACGGTTTCATTCCGACCTTGCCAGCCAGCCTTGGGGCAAAGGAGCCCCAAAGACCAGACAACCCCTCCCCACAATTCAGCGGTCCTGCTGTCTCCTGATTAACCCCTTCGTTCCCCCATTTATGGTCCAGGGGCTGGACTTGCTCCAGCACCTGGGGGACCTTGCCCCAAGCTGGGGCCCATGGTTGTCTGGACATCCCAGATACTCTCCCAAACCTGGCAAACGGCCAGATAGCACCCCTACCAGCCTTTCCACAGGAGATGGGCATGGTCCTTTCCCCCCTCCCAGCAGAGCTCTGGGTCAGAGCCCCATAGTCAGTAGCAGTTGCTACTGGCCAGGCTATCAGCTTCCACATGTAGCCAGCCCTATCCTCACAGCCTTGCTTGGCCAGGTACACAGCAGGTGCTCCATAAATGCTCCTTGTGTGAATGAGCCAGGGCTTGTGGCAAGGCATGCAAAGCCCAAGCGTTCACTGGGACACTAATTCCCAATATCCTGTGCTTGGGTCAGGTCACTGTGACCCTGGGCCCCGGCACGTGACGCCCAAGCATGTGGGGGCATGGAAGTGGTGGGAGAAATAGGCCTCAAGCTGGTAGCTGGGTGGTCAGCCTCATCTTGTGCAAAACGCTGGCCCTTGAGGCCACCCGAGTCAACTAAGCCGAAATTGGGTGCAGTTTCTCCTCTTCTGGGGGTGCTGAAAAGCTCAGAGTAGCAGCCAGGGCTGGGTGGGTGGAGGTAGCTGGAGCCGAAGAAAAGCCACCTCACAGCTGTGGGATGTGGGCCAGCTGTCTGTGAGCTGTCTCTGTGGGCACCACACAGGGCCTCAGAAGGAGGCAGAGGGAGGCAGGTGGGCCCTGGGCTGCAGCACCCCCCTCAGACCCAGTCCACAGAGCTGGGCACCCCGGCTGCTGGGTCCGTCTGCTGCAGGGTTGGGGGGGGGCGAGCTGGTGAGGCCTGGATGTGGCCAGCCCTTACTCACCACCCAGCCTAAGTGCCCTTCGTGGGGGCACAAAGGCCGAGCTGCAGGGACCTCATGGAGGTGGGCTTTGTCACCTGGTTCTCTGGTCAGTGTGCACCTGGCCGAGGGCGCAGGGTTTAGGGTGGGCACTTAGGCACTGAATGGGAGGGGCAAAGATAATCCCACTTTGGAGGAGCATTCGTATTTTAAGTGTTCTGGGTCTAATGACACATCATCTATTTGACGATGCATCCAATTTGGGTAAAATGCAGAACAGGCTGTTGATGTGGGCAGTTCCCATCTCCTGGGTCAGGCAGACTGTTGCTCCATGGAGAGGGACCAGGAACGTGGGCCAGTGCGGAAGGGCCAAGGGGGAGCCCATGGGGCCACCCCACAGGTCCTTCTTTTACCCCCCTGCTTTCGTTTGTAAGTTTGTGGTCCTTGGTCTTTCTTGTTCAGTGGCATGATGTCATCGCCACCGGAAGCTTTGTTAGTCTGAGTGTTTGCGTACTTACTTGCTTTTGTGGCGAGCTTTGCTCCAAGAAAGGATTTGGTATTGGCCCTGTGTTCTGGTGCCTTGAACATAAGTAGAGGCTTCATTAATGTGGTTGGATGAGGCATGATGCGTAACATCAGAGCAAGTCTTGATTAGGCACTCCAGATCTTCCAGAGCTGATGAGCCCACATATGTGTGAGGACATCAAAGCAGCCCCTGGGTGTCCATTCAAAGTTAACTCCCAACCCAGTTTCAAACCGTGCCAAGAATCCTCATGAACAGACATTGGAATGGCCTCTTAGCCATTGGCCTGCATGCCTGCCCCTCCCACCAGACCAGTGTGTCCTGCACACGCCCAGCCAGCCCGCCTTCTTCCTGGGGACCCTCGGGTGACGTCGGAATCCTGCTCCACAGTGAGGCCATGACGTGGTGGTGCCCCAGTCTTCTTAGTGGTCCCTGACCCATCAGAGCACACTCTGCTCACCTGTCTGCCCCGCCTCACTTCCCGGCAAGACCCTCCATTCTGTAGATCCTGGCCTGAGCTGCCCTCCCTGCCTCTGGCCCCTGCCCTCCACAGACCTTGCTCCTGATCAGTGCCAGGTCAGAACACCCCTGACGGATACTGTCTCCTGCAAAGTTCCATGCTTGTCCTTCTCAGACACTGGCAGGACTTTGCTTCATTCTTCTGAGCCCCACGTCTTCTGTGGGGGGGGGCTCGCTCCTGTCTTAAGCCTGACCAGTCTGTGGCTGGTGTGAATGGAGTGGGGGTCTTCAGAGTCTTGGCTCTCATTTTCCCTGAATGAATTTTGAAAAGTTGTCAAACTGCTTGCACATTTTGAAGTCAACATTTAAATTTTGTAAGAAATCACAAATGTAAATAATTGCAAGGAATGGAATTTCTGGTGTGGTAAATACTGATATTTTGAAGTAAAGCTGTTATTCTTGTCAACGTATCCAAGAAGCTAATTACCAAAATGTTGGGCTTTTTTTTTTTACATTTAAGTATGCCCTACACCCAGCGTGGGGCTCAAACTCACCATCCCAAGATCAAGAGTCGCATGCTCCACAGACCTGAGCCAGCCAGGCGCCCCAATACCAAAATGGTTTTGATGCCCATGGTCAGTCATCTAAAAAAAAAATCACATAAACATGTTCTTTACCAGTCCAAAATCTTCATCAGAACATTTTCCCTTAAACTTATTATAGACATCAAATTTTGGCCAGAATTTTATCCTACTATGATATCTTTTCATGCTTGAAAGTTTCCATAGATCCCCCCAACACACTTCTTTGCAACAAATACACATGTAGGTTTTAGTAAATCAAATATTCAATAAATAAGAAAATTTAAATGTTTTTTGTTTGTTTGTTTGTTTCCAGGGACCATAAGACTTATTCTACAGTCTTGAAGTCTTTTGTTGAAGTAAACAACCGTATTTGTTCTGGGGAACACACACCCAAGGACCATGGATTACTGACGTGGCTTCTGTTGGGGGAGCCTGAGCCTTCCTAATACTCTGTGCTGTCACTCTGTGGCTGTCATCCTGTGGCTGTCCCCTTTTCCATAAAGACACAAGTCATATTGTGTTATAGCTACAAAGCACTTATTTCCTAATAAGGTCACACTCATAGGTGCCCAGGGTTAGCACTTCAACATGTCATTTTGGGGACACAATTCTACCCACCACAGCGTCCTCAGAACTGGCCCTGTGACCATAAAGACCTCGTTAGCACCCCTGCAAGCCTGTTTACTGGACTGGGAGCTCTGCGAGGGCTGAGAGCAGCACAGTCTATGCCCTGGAGTGCAGTGCGCCGCGCAGCCCCCGGCTCGTGGCTTGCCCCGTGCTGCTCTGGGCAAGTGCCTGGGCGGGCTGTGCAGGTGTGTGTTTCCATTGAGCTGTGAAAGCTTCAGAAAGCAGCCTTCTGGGGCAGGTGGGGCCCTCCCCTGGGGGAGTGTGTGTAGCCCACGGCTGGGGGCTTTTATTCCCTGGGCGGGAGAACCCTGGCCAGTGAGTGTCCTGGTTTGTGCAGTTATGAGCAGCTGGGACGACTGTCCTGTGGGGTGTGGGCTGGCTCCCGTGACAGCCCAGGTGTGGACTGGAGCTCCAAGGCCCAGCAGCCCGCGCCCCACCCCCGCCCCAGCCTGGTTCCCCAGCTGGGCTACTGCTGTGCCAATTGCAGGTTTAATGATCACAATCCACTGCAGCGTGTTTTCTTGTGTTTTCACTGCGTGCCATTCATGATGGTTTCTGCCAAGGACAAATGCAGGCGTGGGCGGCTTACGGCCTGACTCTGACATTCCAACGCCAGACGGTGGCAGGTGGGGTGGGGACTGCCTGTGCGGGGCGGGGGGGGGGGGGGGGGGGGTGGCGGCACCAGGTGCCTCCCCCACACAGTTACTGTCGGCATGTCTCCCCCTCCTCCATTGCTCAAGATTCTCTGTAATTAAGAAGCCCTCAGTTACTTAGCGTGGGCTTTGAGGTGCATTTGGAGGGTCGCTGCGAGGATTAGCCCTTCTCTGCAGCTGGGAACTGGCTAGAGCTTCTGTCCTGGGTTTGTCAGTAGGGAGCCCCTCACCTGGGAACTAGAGCTTCTTTTCCTTGTTTCTATTCATGGAACCGAATTTCAAACAGAGCTTTTATGGGTTATTGGGACCCTCTGAACCCAAAGAGGGGGC